GTCGTCGTCGTCGTCGTCTCGTAGTAGTAGTAGTAGTAGTATATATATATATATATATATATATATATATATATATATATATATATATGCAGATTTTTAATGCAGGGATATAAAAAATAATTAATTTCAATTAAAACTAATTATTAAAGATGTGATGAAATTGAGGCATGTATAATGAGAAATCAAAGTTATTTGTGGGGAGGAAAAAGCAGAAAAACAGAAAAAAGTGGAAAATTTTCAGTATATATTTCAGTATAATTTCGATATTATGTTTCTTACCATAGAAAGAAGCAGAATTTAAAAGAAAAAAAGTATTTTGTATAAAATTAATGAAATGTTGGAGTAATTTGTTGTTTCAGAAGCAGCGAAATTTATTGATGTTGAATTGGAACAACATCCGGAAGAGGGTGAAGATGCGGAAATTGTATGTCGTGTGCATGGTGATCCATCATTGGAAATTTTTTGGCAATTTGAAGGCAAAACTATTCTCGAAGGTTTGTTTAATTGACAAGAAAAAATTTATTTTACTTTTTTGATAAGTTAAAATTATGAAAGTGATAAAAATTTGGCAATTTCACCATTTTTTTTTCCTCGTATCTTACTGTCTTAAATAAAACGTGTTAAAATGTAAATTTCTTTGTATATTTGTATTGGTTATTATTGAAAATTTAACGCTAAAAAAAATGATATCAAAATTTGATTGCGTAAATTTCGATTGTGAAAATTGATAATTTTGAATGATTATTTAATTCTTTGAGAAAAATAGAAAGTAATGAATCATTCATTTGTACATAAAATCATAAATCTTCTATGTTTGATTCCACTTTTTTGTTCTTCGACTATTTGCAAAAGTACTTAATTAACTGTCCTTTTTTTTCTAAGTTCGAGATGAAAAAAGAAGAAATGGTGGTCATTTTGCGGGATTATTAATTTGATTTAATGAGGGGAAGAAAAAAAAGAAAACGAGGCCTTTTTATTGTTGCATTTTTATAAATCATAAAAGCATTTTTCATAAATGCATTTCACAAATCATATTTGTATTGGTTATTATTTCAATAATAACCAATACAAATATACAAAAAAATTTACATTTTGACAAAGATGAAGAGGAAGAGAGAGAGAAAAAAAAAGAAGGAGAGAATTAATAAAAAAATAACCCCTTATATGAGGAAAATATGTAAAATAAGTCTTATTAGAATATGATTCATTTTTGGTAATGTATACAAAAATTGTAAAAAATGTATCAATTATCTCATGAACAAAGATAAATTGAAATTAATTGATTTAAATTTCAGAATTTTAGGGACTTTTTTTTCGCTATAAAATGTATTTTCGTTTTTTAATAAATAATTCGAAGGTTTTTCTCTGCATTTTTGATTTAAATTTTTAAAAAAACTTTTTTTTCTGTCATCTTAATGTTATATTCAAATTGTTAAAATCTTAAAGGTTGAAAATAAAATCCATACTTTAAAAAAAAGAAAAAAAAAATCTTATGACAACAAATTCTTATTACATTTATATAAAGGGGATCATAGGACATGGGTCGTTTTGTGTGATGACATGATATGCCCTTGAAAAAACGATACTGAGAAGGGAAGAATGACAGAGACTTATACAATTCATGAAGAGTAATTCCAATTTTCGAAAAATTCGATTTTTGGATTTTAATTTGGATCAATTTAAATCTTCTATGTTAGTGAAAAAAAAATTGATTCATCGCCAAGATTATTGTTTTAGTAGTTTTTTACATAGCATAATATTAGTTTTAAAAAAGAACGTTGGTTTTATTTCAAATAAATCATTATTTGAATAATTAGCTTAACTATGTATTTTTTTCTTCTATTCAAGCAGCCATCGAATAATGAATTAGTCAAATAATGGATTTATTTGGAACTAAATCATTTAAAAAGATTAGCTTAGAAAAATTCAAAAAAATTAGCTTTTTGAATTTTTAGCTTAACTTTTATTCTTGAGCTTTTAGACTGTCATTTAATTAAATTAAATTTATATGTCTACAGGTGGACCACGAAACTATGAATTTAGAGATTCAAATCAAATTTTGATAATTCCAAAATATGATTCCGGTCTTGATGATGGTCAATACACATGCAGTGCAGCACAATTTTACTCCTTTGAAACTATTGTTATCAATGTTACCGGATATGGTTCGTTAAATTTCCACAATTTCCCAGTTTTGCTCTAAGATTTCAAGACGAACAGAGACAAAAAAAAGTTTTCTTTTTTTTCTCCAATATATTGCTGAATTACTGAAGTTATTTGTAGAATGTTTTCCTTTTTTTAAACACAAATTATTTGAAGTGAAATGTGAAAATTGCTTATCTTCTGAATTAATAACTCTTGTACATTTTAAATTTTACAGCACGTCCAAAAATAGCAATACTTGATGGATCAGAAGCAACATATGGTGTTGAAGGTCGGGATTTTGTGATCCGATGCCAAGCTGTTGGCAAACCTAAACCACATTATCAATGGATAAAATACAATGTTAATTTTTTTTTCTTTTTTTCTACCTCTTTCTTGTCAGATTGATTATAAAATTTGTTTACAAACTTTAGAGTTTTGAGAGTATGTGTGAGAGAGAGAGGGTGAGAGAAAAAAGGTGATGATTTAATCAAAATGAGATTCAAGTGTCTTGCTTAAATTTATATTTTATTTCATTTTAAATTAATCCTCTATCAGGATGGAGATGAGGAAATCATTGCACCTTCCGAGAAATATGATCTGAATGATGGTACTCTTATAATTCGGGATTTGATCCCGGCAGATCGTGGTACATACAGTTGTATCGCCAAAAATGCTCTGGATGAAGCACGACTTGATTTTAATTTAACAGTCTTCAGTTAGTTTGTTGTTTTCTTTTTTCTTTTCCTTTTTTCTTTTTTATGCGATCAAATGTATTTTATTTGTTATTTTAGCTTCCTTTATGATGAATTAACACGATATGATTATTTTGTTAGCTACATAGAATTGTTTCGTTTTTTTTTCGAAAACTTCAGGTAAACCAAGGTTGAAATTGATGAAGAATTTGACGGTTACACGTGGTGATACGGTCAGATTGGTATGCGAATTCAGTGGTGATGGATATTTGAAAGCTAAATGGTTACATCTTGGACAGGAATGGTCAGGTAGACCAATGAATCAGACTGAACGAATGTTCGGTTTTAATTCAAGTTCACTGAACAGATACAATACTGTTGCTGGTAATAATTTGAATACCGGTAATACTGCTGTTGAGGTACGTTTTTTCTTTTAATTTCAATTTTTTTACCCCCAAATTGGATTTCTACTAACCGTTTTGTATTTTGAAATATTCTTATTTCTGCCATTCATCATCCTCTTCGGCTTATCATTTTCATGAACAGAATGCCAGAATTTTCAGGATAGCCATGTGATGGTTAATGAAGGTAATGGTATTATTATTTTGACGTTGACAACCGTGGATGAAGATGACGCTGGCCAGTATCAGTGTGTAGCGGAAAATGAGGCCGGCACGGGTCAAGGCTCTGTTTTCCTCTCCATTATTCGTAGGTTTTCTAAATTTGGCTATTTTCAGTTTGAATTCGAAGTAATGCCAGATTTCCATGAACTTTTTTAAAGAATTAAATTTTATCGCATTTCAGATGCAGCACGAATTGTTGACCATAGTGGAACAAAACGTGCCTTAAAAGGTGGTGTAGCGGTAATTTATTGCGGTGCAAGTGCTGTTCCGGAACCTGTTTGGACATGGACTGGCCCATCCGGTATCATTCATGCTGATGGCTCGAAGTATATCTTCGACACTCGAACTGTTACTGCAACTCTCACTGTAAGCGCCTAATTTTCAGTGATGTGATACTCATGTATTGTATCTTCTCTTTAGAATTAGAATTCAATGATTTGATTTCCGAAAAGCTTGTGAATTTGAAACTGGAATTTGTAAATTTGGAACTGCTAGTTTTTATTGGAAAAATCAAAATATAAAATTTTAGGTACGAGACGTTAATCAGCATGATTTCGGTAAGTATACCTGCATGGCTGATAATGGTATTGGTCCACCTGATCAAGCTGAACTTCGACTGATTGAAATTTGTATGTTTTGGTATTTTGTTTCATTGTTTACTTTTTTGTTAAATGCTTTGTTGTTTTTCTTCACTTTACCTGTATAGTACTATTGATTAGAATCTTAAGATCGATGTCATATACATAAAATTTTTTTCAGTCTCTATGAAAGTGATCATTTGTGGAATGATAACACTTAGAATTCATTTAGCGATAAATCTGATTGAAATTTAGCAAACTAAGAAATTAGACTACCGTTTTCAATTGTTCAGTTTATTAATTTCAGTACCACCGCTAACACCAACTAAGCTAAATTGCCATGAGCGTGGTTATCCAAATTTTGGTATATGCACTATTGGTGAATTAAAAAATTCACCACCTGGAAAATTGCCGTTAAATATCACATTTTATCTTATGCCTGAAGATAAGGTTTGTTCTAAATGAATAAAAATTTACCCTTTTAAAATTAAAAAGATATCAAGTATTTCCAAGCTTATGCTAGTTTCTTTAATTTATTAATGTAATATAATTTAACTTTATCTTTATCCATTAGGCTAAAAAATTTACTATCCGAAATTGCCATTAAACATTATATTTTATGTTATACCCGAAGATAAGGTTTGTTATTCTGCTCAATAATTCAGAAATTATATTGCATTGGATGCTTATCCGACTTCTCATCCATCAATCATCTCTTCATTTCATAATCCTAGATCAAAAAAAAAAAAAAAAAAAAAAAACTACGGGGATTTGCTATACCACTGATATCAAAAAGTATATTGTAGACGAACAGAGGCAATCGTGAAATGGATGCAATGAATATAACTTTTGAATTTGATGGCGAACATGAATTTAAATTTCATCATTTGGAACCGAGAACCAGATATGAAATTCGAGCGCAAGCGATCAATGAAGCTGGTGTTTCAGAATTGAGTGCTCCCGATATCATCGAAACTACTGATCCATGGGGTATATCGTATTGAAATTATGCAAATTTTAACTTCATAATTTTCTATATTAATTATTGAAAGTATCCAGTGATTTTATGTTACAAAAAAAAAATGATCTTATCTTTTTTTCGTTCTTTTTTCTACCATATATATCAAAATTTTTTCTCTTTATGTGCGGAAAAATGATGACAGAATAAACAGAATAAAATGTTGGAATAAATATTTTCGGAACACTTAGTTTTTATCGGAATTGATTTTAATTTTAATTTTGCAGCACCGGATGCACCAACTGATATACATTACGATTGTTCGAAAGCTTGTAAAATGACTTGGAGTGAACCAAATAATCGTGGTTCACCAATTACTGCATATAAACTAATTTTGAAAGAAATTACGCATACTGAAATGGTACACTACAATATCTATATTGCTAAATGATAATTAAGTACTTTATGTACTTAATTAGTTATTCAGTTATTTAATTCTGATTTATGCTGCTTTTGATTACTATCTTTTTTTTGATTGCTTTTAATTGCTTAATTGAATTTCAGTATTGTTTGTTTGATTACTTAAACTGGACCATTTTCCGTTTCTGCATGACCGAATAGTACAAAGAAATTGATGAATTATCAACTTCTTCTTTTTAATGAATGGTAAAAAACTTTGTAGAAACATTATGGTGCGGAAAGTTTCGAGCTCGATTTAGGTGCTGATGATCTCAAAGTGGATTTGTCATTCCTGAAACCACTTACAACTTATGAAGTAAAATTAATTGCTGTAAATGATGTCGGTAATAGTAATGCTCATTCAGTTATGCTCAATACATCCGGTTAGTTCATTCTGCAGCTTCCTTTACTTTCTTTTCCTTCTCTTGACAAATAAATTCATATTGAAATTCCCGGGGGAGGGGGGAAAACGAAACATTTTGGTATTTTTCTTCTACATAATGTCATTCATTTATTTTCGATATGAATAAATTGATAAAAAAATTAAACAAGTAGTAATTAACGATCCTTGTCTCTTGCAATAATCCTTTCAAGTTAATATATTACAGAATATATGGAAGGTGGTCGTCATGATGATGATGATTCCAGTTGGTTGGCAATTTTATTGTTAATCATATTATTATTTTTATTGCTAGCTCTTATCGTAGATGCTATGTGCTGCTTAAAGCAACATCGTGGATTTTTAGCATTAATTTGTTCAACATTTTTTGAATTTGATCAGGGAAATCATGCTAACAAATCAAAAAATGGATTGCAAAATGATAAGTTCGTTTTTTCCTCCTTCGATTACAAAATGATAAAATTGTTTTGTTTCCCATTTTTAAAATTTAAAATTGTCTAATGCTATCATTTTTGAGATGTTATTAGAGTTTTGTGAATTAACGAAAATTGTCTGTCAGTTAACACTCAGAAATGACTAAGTCATATTAAGCAAAGTACATAAGATTACATCAACCATTGATTTAATCGATCAAAATAGCTTGCTGTTTATATACTCCGGAATTCAGAATTTTTGATTGGAAGATTATTTCTTCCATTTTTTCATTTTTTTCTGGTTAAAAAAAACCATTTTTTTCTTTTTTCCTTTCTGGTAGAAATCCGTTTCAGAACCGAAAATAATCGCTTATTGACAGATGAACGAAACAATCCATTGGTTGATGTGAAGTATGTTTGTTGAATTTATGCAAAGAAAATACTCCAAACAGTGTCGAATTAATGATTTAGAATCGTTCTTTTTTTTTTAATTTCATCATTTAACGACAAATTTCCAACTTTCCCGCTGTTCATAGGTAGAAAGATAAACCAAGTGCTTAAGTTTTCCAATAGTAGTTGACAAAATCTCACCACCAGCGTTTTAATCTTTCAAGGATTCCATCGTTTCAGTCATGGCGAAAGGTATAGAAATGGTCCGCATTCAACACCTGTATGAAATAAG